TCTCACGCACTTTTCTTTTGATCCGTAAGATCATTAAATTGCTGACAATGAGTCAAAAATTGAGTCCATCAAATGTATTTCTTACGTCACGTTGAAAAAAAGAAAGAAAAATATCAATACCTGATTACGCGTACGTACATATGTATGCACGTATATACAGAAAGAAAAAAAATTGATGATGTAATAAAAATAGTTCTTTTTTTGTCCTTTTCTTTTTTTTTTAGTTATTGTTAGATAGCCCGTTGATCCCGCATACTCTTTCGTCGAGCGGGAGCGAAGGGCTCTCTTAATTTACGAGAGAGAAGATGCTTATTAAATTGTGTCATCCTCGAATAAGGGCTAACGCGCTGCATCCAATTTGTGCTGCTTAATTAATTCTCTCCAATACATCACGGGGACCGACCAATAAAGAAACCAGGACCCGACGATGACAACGAGCGACGATGCCACCACAATATTGTCCCTAATGAAATCTTCGTTAATCGCGTCTTCTTCGAGTTTTCTAACGCACACGATGTTCGGTCAATTCGATCCTTGAGAATTTTTAAAAAGTTCGTGATAAAGTTTGATGATTTAATTGGATTTTAATGAAAGTATTCGTGTATATTTCGTCTGCGTATACACGCGCGCGCGCGCGCGCGTGTATAAATGTGTGGATGAATGTGTGCACGTACGCGATACTCTACTTTTTTTTTGTACTTATTAAGAAATACTTAAAGATCACGATTTTTCTTTTACTTTAACGAAGAACGATATCGATTTTTCGTGATCGAATATGACAACGTACTTTATTGAATTGCTCTCGAGACAATGCGGTAAACAGGGCGAGTTATGCTAACAGGATTTATTCAAGAATTGATGGAGATGTATTGAGTTAGGCATACTCAGCTTAACAGCTCTAATCGTACATTATATAGTCATCGTAGCCGCAACGTACTTACATTATTATCAAGCCGTACACACGCACATATACACATATGAATACATACATACATACATACATAAATATGTATATATATATATATATATATATATATATTATATATGTATCTATGTAATGGAAAGGTTCGCGTTATGTAATACGGCGTGGATAACGAATCGTTTTTTTTACGATTGCATGATCCATTCTTGTGTTGTTGTTTCTTTTTTATTCCTTTTTTTTATTCGTTTTTTTTTAATTTTCTTCATTTTTTATTTTTTTATTTTTTTTTTCCCCACTTTGAATCCTCACTCCTAAAAAGATCCAGACGAGCTGTATCTTTATGTAACTCTTACTTCAATTATGGCCGCGGCATGTGCATCGACTTTCTTTGGTATGCGGCCGTGCGGTCGCCCTCGTAATTCCGTTATTCGCCGGCTAGAAAAGAATATGTCAGCAATTGGTGCAAATTGAGATAATTTAATGGAAAACTACATTTTTAAATTGAGCAATTACGTCGATTATCCGAGCGCCAATCACAGTGCATTGCGAGGCGACGAACTAAAGCTTTGCTGTGAGACCGTCAAATTGGAAATACTTATTTTTTTGTTTGTTTCTGTTTTCTTTCCTCTTTCGTTTTCTTCTTCCCTTTTTTTTTTCCTTTTTTTCCTTCCTCTTAATTATATCGCAAAATTTTATCGGAGACAAAATTGTTGTTAGATCGATTGAGATTCCTTTTCTTTCTTTTTTTCTCTTTTTGATGTTTCATTTTATTTCATATAAATAAAATCGAAACGCAATCGTTTTGAACACAAATCGAAACACGATCGTTTTGATATAACGTAAATAATAATAGAATGGAAGGATAATTAGTAAATTATCGGGATTAATTGCGATTCGTACTATTTGCGCAATGGCGTGGCGGTAGAACGCGCGCAATTGTCGTCGCGTGCCGAATTATTGGATGTTGACGTCATCGGGCCACTAGTCAGAGAGAGGGAGAGTAAGAGAGAAAGGGAGAGAGAGAGAGAGAGAGAGAGAGAGAGAGAGAGAGAGAGAGAATCGGCGTCGCTTTGGTAGTAATTGCCGACGCCAATTATGCAATTAACAAGTGCGTTGTAATGAACACGGAATCAGACGCGTTCGCTTTCTTAGCCGATGCTTTTCGCAAAACATTTCGCACTTTCGTTTTAACAATTCCGTCCTTCTACGTCGTTTCTAATCTTTCCACGATTGATTTATCAAAAGATTTTTGGCAATAACAAATACTGTTCGCTTGTCAAAAAGCGAACATCATTTCTTTTTTCTTTTTGCACAATATAAACGGAAAATATAATTTTTCTTGAAATAAAAAAAAGAAAGAAAAGAAGGAACAAACAAAAAAGTAAGCAAACGAAATAAACAAATAATTGCCTTTATTCGAATATAACTTTTACAATCATCGTTCTAATCGTCTCGAAACGATTTTAAAATAAAAATATTCTTTAAATTGTTCGGTCAATTTGAAGAATTACCTGAAGAAAATGGAATGTTTAAATGCTTTTTTTCTTTTCTTTTTTTTTTTTTTCTTAGATAAGAAACGCGAAATAATGTTCGTCCGAACGAACGCGTGTAACAAATCGGATGCGACTGCGTCGACGTGTAAATAGCGGACGAAAGGCAAAGTAACCGCAATCCCTTCAGCCCTTATGGGTCGCGTAGAAGAGTAGTCGGAAGCAATCGGATGATCGCACAATAAAACACTGGCATAATGTTTCGTCCGGGTGGTTGAACACCGCAAATACATCTTTCGACCGCATGCTGGTCTATTTTGGGAAAGGGGATGGGACGTTGTGCGTTCCCCTAGACTTTTGAAACTGAGAAAAAAAGAGAGAGAGGGTGAGAGAGAAGAAGGAAGGGATGATGAGACGATGTTGGTGGTAGCCCTGACAGAATTCGCTCTTTTGCTCGAGGGACACCCGTAGGCGCCCTTCGTGGATTAGCCTCGCTACATTTCGTCCCTTCTGTCGGTGCGTATGTTCCATCGTTATGCACCTAACATAAGTTCGGTTATAGTGCAAAGCCAAAGAACGAAAGTGGCTGGCCTTTGACGTTTGATAATATCTAATCATTCTTTTTTTTCTTTTTATTTTATTTTCTTTACTTTCTTTCTTTCGCTTTTTTTAAATTTTTATATTCGAAATGAATCGTCGAACGTATCTGAATTTTTTCTCTCCCGCCCATCATCTCTCCTTCCCTCCTTAGGAAAAGAAGTATATTTATTTCCTGTTAAAAAGAAAAGAAGAAAAACAAGAACGAAAAAAAGAAATGAAATTGACATTTGAAGGACAAAGAAACGGAAGGTCCAACAACGGTAGGTCCTGATTACTGATGGTACTTAATTCGTTGTCGCGTAAAGTTGCACGGACGAAACGAAAATTGCTTGAATTTCATTAAGTTTGGCAGCAATTACTTTTGATGACCGACACGCGAACGTAATTACGTTGGTGCAAGGGTCTGGAGGGAGAGAAGGGTAATAATTCGCTAATATCAATTTCAAATTTCAATTAGTATCATCTCGACATCCGCCTCTATCTCTGTTCCTGGACCCCACAGGAGCACGCCATGATCTAAAATTCAATTTGTCCCTTCGTACCCGAAGCCGCAATGAGAGAGAGAGAGAGAGAGAGAAAGAGAGAGAGAGAGAGAGAGAAAGAGAGAGAGAAAGAGAGAGAGAGAGAAAGAGAGAGAGAGATAGATAGATAGATAGATAGATAGAGAGAAAGAGAGAGAGAGAGAGAGAGAGAGAGAGAGAGCTGAGCAGAAGAAGAGCGAGAGAGATATGTATATATATTGAGATAGCAGCAAGAGGGGGATTGTTATAAAGAGGGGGCACGGAAACGAGATATGGATATGTATGTGTCACATGTATATGATGTCTCAAAAGACTCTAAAACTTATATTTACGTCATTTTCATCCCATTTTTCTTTACTTTTCTCATCAATGTGTGTGTGTGTGTGTGTGTGTGTATGTACGTGTATATATATATATATATGTATACTTTCAAATCTCTTTTACCTCGAAACTTTTTTTTTTATATCTCCAATTAATGACCCTAACGATAAGAATTTTTTTGGTCGAAAAAATCTCATTGGTGTATTATAATATATTTGTCGTTATTATGAGAGGTAAGAGGATCTACTCGATAAATAGATCTACTACTAAAATGTCTAAGCGAGATTAGGGAAGAAGAAAGCGGCCGGATACAGTTTGTATATGATATGTTTCTAAAGGCACTCGCGTGTACGTTCCCATTATATAAAGCGAGATACGGCCCTGTAAGGCACGCGCATGCGCGACACACATGCCGACCCATTATAAATTGATAACTCAGCCGTTTATTAAGTTCCACGACCGATGCCCGCTTAGGCAAAGAGCCCTCTCTATGCTCTTGCTCTTCGCTTTCTACCTCTCCCTCTCGTTGGCAGAACTCCAACCCCCTCCCCTCCCCTTCTCTTATCCACCAACCACCCACCCACCCTACATCACATCCCCCACCATCACTACAAGCACCATCACCACTGCTACAGATACATACATTATTTATTTATGAGAGTTTACAATCCCTCTAATGGGGATCGGCGTAATCGGCCATCCAGCCATCCTCTCTTTCTCTCTCTCTCCCTCTCTCTCTCTCTCTCTTTCGATTCTACACTCATCCTCTTCTTCCATTTTCTCAAACATACTCTCTTTCTCTTTTTATATTTCTATCTTTCTTTTAATCATATTTCCTCTCCCTCAGGTTCGGAAAATCGGTCGTCCATATAAGCCGAACTCCAAGATTTCCACTCCTTTTTTTTTTCCACTTCTTCTTTCTTCTTCTTCTTTCTCTTCTTTTCCTCCCTTCGAAAGAGAAGAATGAAAGAGAAAGAGAGAGAGAGAGAGAAAGAGAGAGAAAAGACTCTTCCTTATTTCTTACGGAACGTCACTTCTCGTAAATTCATCAAGAGGAGAGTTAATTTTTCTGAGAATTCTTTCTTCGAGAGAAAGAGATAGATAGACAGAGAGAAGAAGTCAATTAAAGAACCCGCATTGTTGCAGATTGGATCTGTTCACGCGCATCAGACGAATAACCATCAGCATCAACATCTTCAACAACAACAGCAACAGCAACAACAGCAACAGCAACAACAGCAGCAACAAACGCAGCAGTCTTTGCAACAACAACAAACGTCGAGCCAATCGCAAGTGCCTGGTGGGGGAGGGGGTGGAGGGCCGGGGGGTGGGACGGTGGCCAGGGCCGGAGGAATGTTCTGCTACCACTGCCCCCCTGGTCTTCCGGCACCAAGGCTTCCACCGTCTTTGGAGTATCCCTTCGCGCCGACTCACCCTTGTAAGTTCAATCCCTATTATCTTGTCTTTCTTCTTGTTAAATTTTCTTCCCCTCCCTCGATTCGCATTAATTTGAAATTAAAATTAAAATTGGTGAGAGAAAAAAAAATTGAATAAAGAAAACAAAGAGAGAAAGAAAAAAAAAGAAAGAAAGAAAGAAAGAAAGAAAGAAAGAAAGTAAAAAGAAGAAGAAAAGAGAAACGAGAAACAAGAAACGTTTTTTTCATCAAAGGAACTAAAATTAATATCCACCATTTCTCTCTGTTCTTTTAATTCGATAAATATGATTGTACGATTATTCACGATAAAATTTATATCGCACGAGGGTTTGACTTTCGAGTTTATGCGACCGTAGGAAAAGTTTTACATTTTTCAAACGGCTCGAGTACGCATATACCATCCCTCTTAATTTTCCCAAGAGTGTCCCGACACTCTGTTCTGTAAAAAATATTACTTTTCAATGGCGATTTAAAGGAGGAGACTCGTGGATATGCGATGTTGATGATAAATTATGTAGGATGGAATAATATGAGAGAAGATAGAAAATCGTGTTGGAAAGCGGTGAACAGAATATATCTCTGTATGTCTGCGTCAGATAGAGGTAGTGAGAGAGTGAGAGTGAAAGAGAAAGAGAAAGAGAGAGAGAGAGAGAGAGAGAGAGTGAGAGAGAGAGGGAGGGAGCGTGAAAGAGAGAAGAGGATAGTGTTACCGGATTGATTGTGCGGCACTTGCTCTGGCGGAACACATCGATGAAGTTACATTACCGACTAGACCGAGTTACGCAAAGTGGACGCTACAAACTGGACGGTCGCTAAACTTAATTTGCACTTCGAACCAACTTCCGGTTAAACCGCGTCTCGACTATAAAGCCGCCTGACTGAAACTTGGACGGTAGTTTGCTTATTCACTGATCGTTTTCCAAGTCGAATTCCGTCTTGCTGCTAGGAATCGACAGCATGAATAAACTCAGAAAACTGTGTGTCTTTTTCCTTCTTTTCTCGACTTCCTCCTTCTTCTCCTTCTTTAAACCCAGCCCCCGCATCCTTTTATCCCCAAACTCCTCAGTTTACCGTTTAGAGAATTTATTGGGATAACTGAGCAACGATGAAAACGTCGGACGTTCCTTAAATCGAATTATCCTTTGAGAAAAGGAGGCTAGAACTTCTCGCGTTAATTATTTACGCAATTATACCGCAGTGATTTTTCAAACTTTTCAAGTAATCCGATACGATCAGTAATCGAAGAACGGCATGATAACTATAAACTAATAACCGTTAGTATAATTAATTAATTGAACGAATATAATCAATAAATCAAATAAACGTTAGGAAATGAAATTGAAATTGATGATAAAGATCAAACTGTCAAAAGATCGAAATTATCGAATTAGAGTGAGAGAAAAAGAGAAAGAGAGAGAGGGAGAGAGAGAGAGAGAGAGAGAGAGAGTATAATTATTATTGAAAGGGGGTTGTATACCGTAGAAATATTATTTTATCCGGCGCGCTCTTTTTAAAATAGGACTTTGAAGATTTTCGATCGCGCATCAGTACCGTATGCGGTAGATGATTGAACAAATGACCTCGACGGAGAGAAACACAGAGAGAGAAAGAGAGAGAAAGAGAGAGAGAGAGAGAGAGAGAGAGAGAGAAAGAGAGAAGGGGAAAGGAGGGTGGTGGGTGTCCTCAGGGACGTCCGGGCACCCTTCCAACTCCCTGATTCCCCCCGTTGCCACTGCTCCAGGCCCCTCTTTGCCCCCCGTTGGGATAAACAGATTAGGTAACTACGTGATAAGTCGGTAAGTGGGTTCACTCCGGCCCACGGTCCAGACCTACCGACATTCGCTCTAACATCTAACTACCTCGTTAGTGTCATTAGTAACGGTCGGGGTGTCATTAGATTTCGTTCTACGTGTAGTTTTTCTACGGAACATTCTCCTCTATCTCTATTTCGAGTAAGAGAATGTTGTTCGGAATAGTTCCTTGATCAGAGCCGTGACCTGCAAAGTAATCCTAGAGTAGAAACTTGATTTTTCTATAAGAATTCTAACCGATTAGTTTCTAATTCTTACGCGATTCTTAACGATTGAAAAATCTTTCTCTCTCTCTCTCTCTCTCTCTCTCTCTCTCTTTCTCTTTCTCTTTCTCTTTCTCTTTTTCTCTCTCTCTCTCCCTCTCTCTATCAAGAAAAAAAAGTAAAAAAAAAGTAAAAAAAAAATGGAAACGTGTTAGGAACAAAGTAAACTCAAAATCAAATTTGATGAAGTAAAAAAGAAGAGAGGGCATAAAAGTGGATGAAGCCTGGTAAATAAATGTACTGGTGTCCCAAACTGAAATCCACTCAAGATCTTAGATTAGAGTCGGGCCAAGGTAAAGCTGGGATCCAGACAACTCATACAACTCATCGAGAGTCGGCTTAATCCAATTTATTAGTATACCCGGAGTACCGAACGGAGTCGGGTTTTGCCAACGACTTTTGCACTTGCGCACTCCTACACTCTTATCCGTCGTTCTATCCTGTCTGTATCTTCATTCAACGTGGCATAAACTAAGATAACTTAGATCAAAAATTTTCTTACCGAATCATATACGAATTTGCAGATTTATTTTTTGCCTTTTAATAATCATAAGATCTTATAATAATTTAGCTATCATTATGATTTTTGTATCATATTATACGATCATATCATGAAAGAACAAAAGGGTAATTAATTTTTCGGGATTGATGAAAAGAAATAAAGAAAAAGTAAGGACGTCATTGACAATTATTCAACAACAACTTTTTCTCGTTATTCACGTATCGAATTTTTTACAATCGTCGCATCATCGAATTCATGCTCGTTTTAATCATTTCTCATCACGTTTTAATTATTTCCCATGCTCTAACGACTTCTATTGGTTTAAAAACTTCTTTTTAATTCTTACTGATCTTTTTTTTTAACTCTTAGTGATCTGTAAAAAGAATTAATAATAATAATAATAATAATAATAATAATAATAATAATAATAATAATAATAATAATAAAAGAAAAAGAAAAAGAGTAAAAAATAAACGATATCGAAGGCACGTGTTACGACAAAAAAGTTAATAAATCGATTAAGCGTGTCGCTGCGAAACGCAAATTAAATTAAAATTAAAATTAAAAATAGATTTAAATTAAAAAATTACAAATAAAAATACATGAATGATGGAATGACAATTTCTCTTTTTTTCTTTCAAATCTCTTTTCATAAATGTTTTTATCTTCGATAATATAGAAACATTTATATGCACACATTAATGAGAATTTGTCTAGTGTGGATTTATATATAAAAAGAAAAAAAAAAGAAAACAAGAAAAAAAACTAAAAGGAAAAGAAACTTTTGAAATTCTTTTTACATTTAAAATCGTTATGATTCCACCAGGCAATAACGTACTTTTCTCGATAGTCTCTCTTTTCTTTTCTTTTTTTTTTTGTTTTTTCTTTTGTTTTTTGTTTTTTCTTTTTTAGGATTTTTCACGATCTAACCGTAAAGTCGCGTTTCATTTTTCCAGTAATTCTATCATGCCGAAAACGAAAACGATAGAGAAAAAAAAAGAGAGATAGAAAGAGAAAGAGAAAGAGAGAGAGAGAGAGAGAAAGAGAGAGAAGAGAGAAGAGAGAACAGAAGAGAAGAGAAGAGAAGAGAGAACGAATTGCATGAATTTTTATGAGTTTAGGAAATTAATTTGTGTTTTTCGTTAAGCCTTGGCTTAGCGCCGTGGTAATTAATTGCGCTGATTGCTTTGCATCATTGATGAGCGGTTCCGGGTTTCGTAATATCCATTCTCTCTCCCTCTTTCTCTTCTATCTATACTCGGTAATGTTTCTACCTCTCATTCTCTTCCATTCGCGTTTCTATATAAACCATTGGTACGTTCGAAGCTTTTGGTAAATCGCTTATTTTGGATTTCCGCGCTATATAACAGGACCCTTTCGTTGTAATCGTTTGGAAAATCTAAAATTGAAATTGATCTGTGTTTCTCTCTTTCTCTTTCTCTCTCTCTCTCTCTCTTTCTCTTTCTCTCTGTCTCTACAGATATTAACGAGGAGATACATCTATATCTCTTTTTAATTAATCTCTTTGATAATCGGATCGATCTTTACCATATAAGTATCTAATACGTATACATATATGTATATACGGATATACGTAACCATATATAGGAAAAAAAAAACAAAAGAAAAAAAAAGAAGAGAGAAAAAGAATGATCCGTTTAATTTTTTTTACATTTTTACAGATACAAGTTATTCGGCTTATCATCCGGCCTTGCACGGCGTCGGCGAGGATTCCTTCGTAAGAAGGAAACAACGAAGAAATCGTACGACCTTCACGCTCCAACAATTGGAGGAACTCGAATCAGCGTTCGCACAGACACATTATCCTGACGTCTTTACAAGGGAGGATCTAGCTATGAAGATCAACCTTACGGAGGCCAGAGTTCAGGTGAGATTAAAAATCGTTTATGATATGAAACGGGATCAGCACGAGTGTAACAAAAAAAAAAAAAAAAAAAAAAAACAAAAAGAAGAAAGATAAAAAAGGCTTTGTTTACGTTGCACCTAAGTAACTAAATACGTCCTTCGTAATTTTATTCCCATAACCGTGTCGGCACGAGCCCGGAAAGAGACAGAGAGAGAGAGAGAGAGAGAGAGAGAGAGAGAGAGAGAGAAAGGGAGAGAGAGAAAGAAAGAGAAAGAAAGAGAGAGAGAGAGAGAGAGAGCGAATCATAGGAAGAAGCAAGCGAGAGTCGCACCCCTTAGCCCCATGAGGCATACTGACACCCTCGACCTGACGTAATCTCCTGACAGAGTAAGCCGGTAATCTCTGGGATTACTTTGTATTCGCGGCAACGTCCTCCCGGCCATATTTACTCCTGCCGCGGTAATTCGCTCGGAGAATCCACGCAATAGCACCGATTCCCTTTTGAAAATCCTTTTGCCTTTCGTGATAGACCGATGTTATTTCTTATCTTCTATCTATTAACATATTCTCATATCCAGTTATATTTTTATTTTCTTTATTATTCATCGAAATCATGAAAATGATCGGATTTCTCCAATCGACGAGTTTTATTGTTATATCGTAACAAATCGACGTAAAACCCATCGCTTTTTTCTCAATGGTTTCGTAATGATGACATTAATACTGTTAGATCATAATATTGTTAAATTATAAATCATTGTAATTCGAATGTAAAAAATAAGAAATTAAAAAATTTTCAATAACGTAAGAATAATTGGATAACAAAATGTAAAAGAGAAACATTAAAAATGTTTGTTATATGAAAGTATTAATGATTGTTAAACAATGATTTTTCATTAATTTTATAAATAATGCAAAATGACGAAGGGACTACGAACAAATTAAATTCTTTCTCGTTGATTTTAAAGTTAACAAATGTGTACGTGTTTAAGAAAAATTGGATTTTGCGATGAATCGCGATGAAACTATATTAATGAAAATCGGGTCGATCGTTTCTCGTGGTCGTTACAAAAGCGTTGTTACATAATTCATGTAAATTCGACTTTTCTTTTTTTTCTTTTCTTTTTTCTTTTATCTTTTTTTTTTTTGTTTTTTTTTTCATTTTTTCTTTCTTCTTTTTTCATATTAAAAATGTACACCACTTCTATCCGACTTATTTTCAATCTAGGATGCAACCGAATGCATTGCGGTGCGACGTTGTTCATGAATAAATTTCAGTGAAATAAACACATTATTATAAATCATATAACTCATATAAAACGTAATAATTTATTATTATAAGCTCATAATAATGAAAATTCTACATTGTTCCCGCGTGTTACGACCTGCGAAAATCTTGCGATGATGGTTAATGTGTTAAAAGGATCGAGAATAGATATTTCCTAAAAAAGATTTTCTCTTGCGTCAATTTAATATGCATTGTACAAGGGAGGCTAAAAGCCGAGAGAGGTAGATCCGATAGAAGTATATACAATAGGCGAGGCGGAGAGAAAGAGAGAGAGAGAGAGAGAGAGAGAGAGAGAGAGAGAGAGAGAGAAAGAAAGAAAGAGTGAGAGAGAGAGAGAGAGAGAAAGAAAGAGTGAGAGAGAGAGAGAGAGAAGGAGAGAGAGAGAAAGAGACATAGATAGAGAGGCAGGCATGACGTAATTACGGCGCAGACTCATTGTTTCATTAGCAAAGACAAAGGGAATCTGGAATAATGGACAAATAGGCGCGTTTATGTAGTGCCTGTCCTCCTCTTCTACTCCAATTAGTACCTTCTAGGAGGGCGAAGGGGGGCCTTCTGCATCGTTGAGGCACGTTCTAAAGCGCTCGAATCGCGTACACGAATAACCACCGCTGCACACTATCGCGCGCTCAGCATTTATTCAACCTTGCTTTGCTGCCGGCTTACGCTTAGCTAGTGTCGTACACGTCGTAGCGTCTTTTGTTTGTTGTCTCTCTCTCTCTCTCTCTCTCTCTCTCTCTCTCTCTTTCTCTCTCTCTCTCTTTCTCTCTCTCTCTCTCTCTCTTTCTATCTTTCTTCCTCTCTCTTCGTGTAGCCCGAGTTATCTATGACAAAAAAAAGCTAAACAAAGAAAAAAAAAAGCAAATGGAACAAAAATCATATGGATCAAAATTTATTCGAATCATTTTAATCGTATGGATTATAATTTGTATGAATCATTTTTCAATCGATCTAAAAATATATATATATATATATTTGAATAAAACTAAGCGTATAGAAATTCGTTCGTTCTTACGTTCGTACATTCGTTCGATAATTTAGATAATTTTCGCATTTACATTTATAATCAAATATAATATCTAAGGAGCTTAAGGAAAAAACGAAGATAGGAAATAATCAAACGAGAGATACTTCTGATCTGTATTTTGACGTATGTATGTATGGTATATATGTACACATGTATGTATGTATGTATGTATCGAACGAATCCAAAGATTTCGTCGCACGTTAAGCGACGAAAGATTAAATACCTCTGGTCCACGGGGAAAGGAGTCCCTGGCCGTGGCCATTATCGACATATTTCGGATTAAATTCGTATTGAAAAGGGATGAAGAACGCGCGTAAGAAGTATAAGAGAAAGAGAGGAAGAAGTACGAACGAGCGCGAGAAGGATATAGGGTAAGAGAGAGAGAGAGAGAGGGAGAGAGAGAGAGAGAGAACGAAACGTTCTACGCTACGAGGTAGTCCCGAGGGAACCACGGCTTTGTTCCCAGCTATTACTCGCCCCCGCAACCCTTAGGATATTATTATATCTCCCCGTCTGCCACCATAGCTACCCCACTCTCCTTTACCACCACCTCCATTCTACCTCTTCCTTCTCTTTTCCGAAACCGTGCTTGCCTTCGAAACCACACCGGCCTGCTGTAGAACCGAGCTCATCGTATTTATTTTATTAAACCATTTCCCAAGCCTCTCTCCCTGCTACTCTCAAGCTACCACTCCTACCCCACGCTCTTCCTCCTCTCGTACCCCCTTCCTCCTTCCCATTCCCCACCTTACTCTCATCCCACTGCGTTCCCTTCACCCGTACCTCTAGTACCCTCCAGACGAAACTTTTGCCGTCGGTATTAATGGTAGTGGTAGTGGTAGCAGGAAGGATAGTAATTTCGAATACTCCTTACTTCGTCCTCCTCGAGGCATTGAATTTTTATAACCGCCAAGGATCGATTCGATATTCGCGTTTACCCTATTTCACACTTAACATTCGCCTACTCTTATCCTCTTTTCGAGATACCATTCACGATATTTATCGATCGTTTAAAAAGCCATGAGAAAAGCGATTTACGATCGGCTTTAAATTTGCTTTCTCTCATGGAAAGCACGTGTAATACCTTACGTACACGTATGCACCTATTTACACATACATAGATATGTATATACGTATGTACGTATATATCTGTGTATAATAGATTGTATATTTTAATTCGCGAGACAATGTATAATACGAAGAAAAAAAAGAAGTAAAACAGTGCGCAGATGAAGGAACGAAGGGAACGAAGAGAGTCTCATTTATCAAAAAGAGAAAGAGAGAGACACAGAGAGAAAGAGAGAGAGAGAGAGAGAGAGAGATAGATAAATAGAAGAAGAGGAAAAAGAAAGAAATAAAAAAAGAATAAAAGAACAAAAAGAAAAAGATGAAAAGAAAAAAAAGAAAAAAGAGAAGAAATAAAATAAGCAACGACGAGGAGACCGGGAATATAGCCAGGTATAATAAAGTCTATTTCAGTTGGTATTATGTCAAGTTAGTCTCGTTAGCGGAACTCGAGCTTTTTAAAAAGCACTCGAGGGGCAGTGCTTGCTGTCGGCTCGTTGAACATGCACGACGGAAAAGAGTACCCACGACGATCTTCTCCATGCACGTTCCTGCCTCAGAATGCCACCCGGTACATGCAATTATCCTTGCACATTCGCGAACAAGAGGAGAGATTGTAGGCGCACTCGGTTCCGACTCTTTCTCTTTCTCTTTCTCTCTTTTTTAATGTCTTTCTCTATGTCCCATACTACCTTCCCCCTATTCCCCCTGCCATCTCTATTCTCTCCTACCCCTTCCCCCTACCACCTACTCCCCATCCCTCGCCCACGCCCACGCCCCACCTGCACTACGCCAGCAGTCGTAGGAAACTCAAGCTCGTCGACTTTATTTGAACGTTGTTATTAAATTTTGAATTAGGTTTACAAGCATAAATGGAAGCGATTTCAGGCGAGTCCCAAATGTAAATCCCGTAGCGTGTAAATTTTCGTAAATAAATGAAACGTTTTTATTCGTTAAATCGCCAATCAAAGTTGAGAATATATATCTATGTGTATTTTCACGTCCACATATATATATATATATATATATATATATATATATATATATATTTAAATAAGCGATTTTACCGTTTTAACGAGGAAATTACTCGAAAGCATAAATAATAATGGGCTCCATTGGGAGTAATGTTAAAAGTGGAAAAAATAAAAAATACTCTCATATTTTTCCAGGTTTGGTTTCAAAATCGTCGTGCAAAATGGCGGAAAAGCGAGCGGCTGAAAGAGGAACAGCGAAAGCGAGAAGGTGGAAGTGGTGCTGGTGGAGGAACGGGTGGTGGTGGTGGCGGGGGAGGAGGAGGAGGAGGAGTAGGAGGAGGAGGAGGTACTGGAAGCGGCGTAGGCTTGGAAACTTCAGGATTGGCACCACCAACTTCCTCGTCCGCTGGTCCTAGTCCAACTGGTCACGATCCTGAAGGTACATCGAGATAATAAACAAAAGGGAATATAATTCCATATAATTTAATAATAACGCTTATGAAATATACGTAGATTTTCAACGATAAAATTTTTCACAATCGTACGTTTTTTTGACGTTTACAGTATTATTTGAGCGCTTATCGTTTTTCGAAATACATCGATATGAAATACGATAAAATCTTGCATTATTTATAATGTTTTATTTATTATTTACCATTATCTACTATAATGTTATTAATATATTATGCAAGTATATATATTATATATATATATATATATATATATATATATATTAATAATTATTACAATGTTATTTCAATTCAAACAATTGTCGAAATACTATTGGTCCAACGTAGGAAAAAAAGAATAATTCGCGATCGCTTTTGACGTATTTATTCTTTTCCTTTTTTTTGTCGTTTTTATTTGTTTTTTTTTTAATTTGCAAAAAAAAAAAGAACAAAAAAATAAGAAA